GTCAAGTATGGTAAGGGGAGGAGTCTTAGAAGGATTCTTCCTAAACTCCACAATCATCTCCACGGTTTTAAGTGTATTCAATTCCAAGTTGTTATGACCGCACCACAAGACCAGTTGTTGAACCTCCCGTCTATATGCTGACTCATTTCCATTTTGAATTAGTTGTTTCATCCGCATATTTCAAGATTTTAACAGAAGAGTCTTTTGAAATGCAGTCATTGGTATACAGGGAGAAAAGCAGTGGGGAAAGCACACATCCCTGAGGGGCACCTGTACTGATTAACCGGATACTGGATGTAGTTTTGCCTAACCTCATGTGTTGTTTCCTACCTGTTAGAAAACTTACCTTAGAGCTGTATATAAATGGAGGAATGGAAGTCTATACTCCCTTAATATAATTCAAGTTGTATGGGACCCCTAATCTAGTGCTTCCCTAATATGCTGGGACTGCAGCTTCCACAATTCTTTGACCTTGTCAGCTACCAATTCTCAAGTTGCAGTCCCAGAGAGATGGTCATGGAGAAAGGCTGGCCTAGGCTTTTTTCTTATATTCTTAGAAGGGTGAGGATTTGGGGCGGCTATTATGGTAAAAGAATCAGCACCATTTACATTGTTCATACCTGATTATACAACGGGGGACCCAAAAAAACCCACAATTTATTTATAAAAAATTGTGTATTTATTTTTACACGTTCAAACTTCAGTTACCTTCAAAGTACTCTCCATTTGATGCAATACACCTATCGATACTTTTTTCCACTGCTCAAAACAAGTTTTGAACTCATCGATTTTGATGCCTTTTAGTGCTTCTGCCGTTTTTTGTTTCACCTCCTCCACATCGGCAAAATGTTTCCCTTTGAGGACTTTTTTCATCCGGGGAAACAAGAAAAAGTTGCACGGGGCAAGATCGGGTGAATAGGGAGGGTAGGGCACAAGGGTCATGCCGTTTTTGGTCAAAAACTGCTGAACACTCAGCGCAGTGTGTGCAGGTGTCAGGGTCAGTCTCCAACTGTTCCTTCAAAGCACGACACACAGTCAAGAGATTGTCTCTTTGTTCAGGTGTGAGGAAGTGAGGCACGAATCACCATCACAAAATAGGCAAATGCATTGAAAAATTCTGTAAAAAAAAACTCACTGAAGCCCAACGCAACCTCTCACAACAACCCAGCTGGTACACTGATGCAAATGGGTTCCTAGAACACTCACCTAGCGGGGGAAGCCTGTACTACAAAGCGCCCGCCCTCCATAAGATAATTTTGGGTTTTTTGGGGTCCCCCCTCGTATTTGGCCTCTCTAAATCATTAGCTATCTATTCAGAACTGTATGCTCAAAACATGACAACTCAATCTGTCAAAACTGTATTGGTTGTAATTAACAATACATGTCAGGTTCAGCCCAAGAAACTCAGCAGGACAATTCAGGAAAAATTCAGTTACTTTATTAGCTTACACCTACTAGGTAGAATCTCACCAGACTAACTCTAAACCCCAATGACAGCAACTAAACATTCTGCATTCCTTAAGGTAGTGCTTGTCTCCTTCTCTTTATTTTCACACACCGTGGTTGAGGGCTGAGGAGATGCTTGGGATTCCTCTCCCCCTCCCTATGACCTTGGACCTCCGTGCCACGATCCTCCTCTCTCATGTCTTCCATCACAATACACTAAAATAACATACAAGTGACTCCAAACAAAGTTCAACACTTTTAAAACACGAGCACATGCAAATTTTCTGCTGAAAATTTGTCTGTTGTGTTTCTGTGACCTAGAAAAGAGCCTTTCCTTTTCCTGGTTGTTTCTCAGAGATTACTTCTACAATTACTATAACAGGAGTGGAAGATAGCAATCTGCCACTGTTTTTATCAGAGTATGCCACTTCTTTCTGATATATATAGCCTAAGAGATACATATGACTCTTGCATTCTATCATAGATAGAAAACAAATCTCTATGAATTTATTTTAGAAAGAAATGGAATAACTTGCTAGTATGAAGTCCATAATGTTAGGGTAGTAATAATGAATGGAGATCACTAAAGCCAGTCTTTCAGAATTCAAATATTTTGTCCAAAACAACTTATATTTTAGAAAGAATTATCTACAAAAAAGTGTGCATTAGAGACTGTTGTGTTGTAAATGAGCAAATATCAGGGAAAGTTATAATTAAACTATTTACTTGAAAGAGTAGCATATTGCACCACATTTGGATTTACTTCCAGTTTTCACAAACCAAATAATTGGCAGAATAATGGATAGAACATAATAAGTAAATGCATGCAATATTGATTCAATGGATTGAGACAGTACTGTATTCCTTGTGTCAGAGGTACCATTCATATTAGGAAGAGAAGGCTAGAAACCAGGAGTTGGTGAGTTCTAATCCTGCCTTAGGCACAAAAGCCTGCTGGGTGACTTTGAGCCAGTCACCCTCTCTCAGCCCAACTTACCTCACAGGGTTGTTGTTGTTGTGGGGGAAAATAGGAGGACGGAGTATTAGGTATATTCACTGCCTTGAGCTATTTATAAAAATAAGAAAGGCGGGATAAAAAATCTAAAAAAAAAAAATCTAAGCTGACAACATGCATAGTTTTTCCTTACCTCAGATGCACCAGAGAGTCTCGGTACTGTAGCAGGAGCATAAGCTGGCTCTTTCAAATGATGCTCTGTTGATCTCTTTCTGCCCTGGCTCTGTCCTTCATGTGGCATCCCACTTCTTCCAAGCTGACCATAGTCTCCTCTACCCCATGTAAAGACTTTCCCTGTCTCTAAATATCAATAACATAATTGCACATTGTTAGTTCTTGAACTTAGATAAAACCATAATAAAAATTATTAAGCTGAGCAAAATTGTAATATAGCACATTAAGCTTCCCTTTTTATTAAATATTTCCTTCTCTTCAGTTTACATATTTTCCACGCAATGGATTCAGGGACTGAATTCATAAAACATACTAACCATTTATGGGGTTGCCTGGTTTTGGCTTAGTATATTCTATGAATTCAGCCATGGTGATTTGTTGAGTATGGTTCCTTTTGTTCATTTATTATATTTATATTCCACATTTCTTCCAGGAGCTCAAGGCAGGATATATTGTATACACTCTTCAAATTTTATTCTCACAACTTTAATGGGTATGTTATGCTGAGAAATAATGACTGCCCCCAAAGCATCCAGGGACCTCCCTGTTCCTAGTCTAGCAATATAACTATTCAAACATTCTGGTTTGTGACTTAACATAGGAGTGACAAGTTATATGCTGCACCTCATATCCATTTTGAGTTTTCAGGATGGTCACCTCATGTTCCTGCAGCCTCCAAAAAAGAAAAAGGAAAAGGAACTACCCTCCTAGCAGAACAAAATCTATTCACTTTTGCCTTAGTGCAATCTGTGAATTTAGCTTATTAGAGTTTAGTCTGACAACTACTGTATAGTTTAGCATGATTTATGAAATCAGCCATAAACTGAAATCTAAAAATATCTGTATGGTCAAATAACATGTACACATCACTTTCAAGATGAAGAGATGCTCAGACCCAAAGCTACCATCAAAATTCATGACACTAATATAGAGACTTGCTTCCCAGTTTTCGTGGCCTCTTGACAATCTGTCATTTCAGCCCTTAGGAATCATCAGGAACAGATCTCAAGTTTGTGAATATTTTAACTTACTTCTCACCAGTTCTCTCCTGATCTCCTCACTGTGAGAGGAAATGAGTCAAGAAACCTCCCTACATATGGATAAAATACTCAATTAACATTTTTCCAATTCTACCAGGAAGTCACAAGTCTACTACATTAGCCATAGCTTTGTCCTATTTAAAATTCATAACACACCTTTTCCTTTGAAGCTTTTAATAGTAATAACTGCAATCTAATTTTAGTGGTTTAATTATAAACAAATCTAATATCATTACCATTACAAACTTAATTGCAGCTCTCAAGATACAAGTCAAGTCTTGATTTCCAGCTTAACAGAGCTTTAAAAAACCAAGGGACCTGAGACATACTTTATATTTGACCAAAGATATATGAACTGTGGAAATCACCTCTAGGATACCCCAACTTCCATGTTTTCAATACTAACCTAGTTTTAGATTTTTGGATCAATTTTTACAACCACTAGCAAAAATGACTATTAGGGAGATTTTATCTGAAGAAAGAAAAGTTCTATTTACAAAGAAAGTTGGTTCTATCTATATTTTTATTTTGTACTGTGAACTATGCCTTAGTTACACATGATTGTTCCTTGTTATTATTATTTAGTTTACATTAGCATTTGTCCATTCCATGAGCAAGAGAGATGCCATCTGAGCAATACACAGAAACACCACTTATGTTTAGAATGCGAGTACTCATTCTTAATTTACACTTTGGAAAGTACTCATTATTAACTTGCACTTGCATATGACAATTGTTTCTATTACCACTTCCACTGCTACTTCATCTTGTTTTACCTTGTAATTTGATCGTCCTTTTATTACAGTTGACATTAGGAATTGAATTGTATATTTTCCCCCTTGGGCTTTGCTCCCTTTTATGATTCAATATCCTCCTTTTTCTTAATATGCATACAGCTAAGAAGAGGACTGTGTCCAGTTGCAGCCACAAACTCTGCCCCCATATGATCTACAAGAGTTTATACACCTTACCCACAACATCAGGGACTCTGCTAACTCAACTGTATACTGAATATATTTGAGCCTGTTTTGAGCTTTCATTCTGAACAGATAATTTCTTCAAGAGAAAAAGAGTTATGCAGGCTGGCTGCATCCCGTCAATCCTCAGCCTTCCTATGTTAACTAGCATGGCTTGAAGCTGGGTTCTGCATGTATTCACAGGAACTTTCTGCATAATCAAGGATCTTGTTTAATTATGCTCTCATATATTTCAATTTTTATATAAAATAGCTGCCGTAACTCAGAGGTAAAGGGATATCAATTTCTGGAGACTCCATGCACATGTAGAAATATTTAAAGGTAGATATTAATGTGGCCTGTAAGAGGATAGTTATCACTATCACATATCAGAATCTTTGTTCCAAACTTAACTAAACTCCAACAGGCAACCAGACAAGTAAGTTAATATTATGTTAATTCAAACTTTTACAAAATGATTTTTCAATTCATATTTCACTGCATATTCAAGACTCAAAAGTTCAGAGAAACCCAAACTTTATTCCTGAGCATGGGTAAAGAACTAATATCCTTTCAGAGGTTGTTGGACTTCAACTTCCACTTTGCCCTTAGTTGATTTTCCGTCTACCACCTAATTAGTACATATCAGCTTGCTACTCACTGTGTGAAAACTCTAAATTAGTATGGATACATATTTTACAATAAATACATTAGCTTTTTGCCTTTATGCTTGCAGTATCTGCTGAGGTTTCCCACCACTACAACTTCAGCTTGTCGTCTCAAAATACTTTAAGATTTATATGATGACATAAGACATAACATTTGCAGTATAATTTGCACATGTTATCCTGAAGGTATCAAAAACAATCAAAACTATTTTTTATTCAGCTTAATATTCAACAAAGCTCTTTGCGTCTGCAACAATTGTCATAAACAAAAAACTTCAATACATATACAAATAAGTGTAATTCTTTGGACAACATATTTACTGCTATAAAATACATACATATGAACACCCAAATTTCCTGCAAAAGTTCTTAATATAACTACTGCCTGTGCTCAGTCACTCATTAGACGGACTTGCAATAGGGTGAGACATAGTAAATCCTATACACTTGCTACCAGGTTTAGTTCTAGTCTCTCATTAGACGGACTTGCAATAGGGTGAGACATAGTAAATCCTATACACTTGCTACCAGGTTTAGTTCTAGTCTCTCATTAGACGGACTTGCAATAGGGTGAGACATAGTAAATCCTATACACTTGCTACCAGGTTTAGTTCTAGTCTTGACTACCTGTTCTGGTTCAACTATTTGAGAAAACATTATACAAAGATAATAATTTGTAAAGATCCTAAGTTAAGCTTAACAACCTAAAGCTCTCCAATGTTTTGGATTCCAGCCACTATAGCTGCTTTTTATTAGCCATGTTGTGTGGAGGGAGACAGCAGTTCAAATCCAAACATCTCTGTGACAGAATTGAGAAGGTAAACACTGACTGCCATCCTGTTGTTTTACTGCCTAGACATTCAAACTGTACTTGTGGTTGATAGCCTGAATCTGGAAAAAAGAAGAAATAAAGGGCTTCATACACAGAAAGTCTTTTACCGGGGGCAGGGGGGGAGCTGAAATGACTTAAGAAGCTGGAAAGGAGGACTTGAGGGAAAGAAGATAAAAATGGCTAGGAAGCAAAGATGGCATTACACTATCTCAAGCTGCTGAAGAGATACATGTCCCAGAACGATTCAAGATGAGGGATCCTATAGGATCGCTATGCAAGGAGGACAATGCAGTGTGAGATCTATCTACCCTGCACAGATATCCAGAAGAGGAAGAACCACAAACACCAGAAAGAAGATCCAAGTTTTGCTAACCATAAGAGGTTGCCAGTTAACTGAAGCACTCAATTAGCTCTTTGGGAAATTTAGTAGCAGTTACATTTTTGGATAAACATACTGTTGTTTTAGCAGAAACAGTAATACCGCAAACAGAGACAGACAACTAATCTCTGAATTGTGGAGTAGTTAGGTCATAAAATAATTTGCACTCTCCCCTGTCTTTTTGTTATTGTAGTTTTTAACTGTTTTAATTGGTTTTAAGGGTTAAATGCTGTCATTGTTAGTTGTGTAGTCACATGCAAGTGAGATGGGCAGAAGAAAGAAAGAAAGAGAGAGAGAGAGAGAGAGAACATGGTAAATTTTTTAAATATTAAAACTACTGTGAGAACTCTCACCTTCTTTCTGCCACTGACATAAAATGCATATTCACATGTATTTGGCAAAAGCTGTAAAGAGGGAACTATTTACACTTACACCTTTTGTGGCCTACATTTAAAATAGAAACACCATCCTGTTTCTAAAAGTCCTGACAAAAAAAATTAATTAATTGATTAAAAGCTATTCCATAAAACTGACCTGAATTACATGGTATCTGCCTTTAGCAATTACAGCTGAAAGGTCAGTATACAGAAAGCTTCAACATGCTTGATGAAAGCCTTTGAAAGGAACTGAGGATACCTATGAAAGTCCACACCCTCCATTTTACGTGGCCTAAGAAGTTTGCAGCAGTTCTGAGATTTAGACTAAAGTAACAGAAGAGCCCCAAGAACACAGAAGATGAATTGCTACTTGAAATATAATGAACTTCCTAAGTAAACAGCATTTCTGTAATAAGGCACAGCATGTAAACCATCAACAGACCTAAATCTTAAGAGTTCGTGTGGGTCTACACTGTTGTGTCTTTCTGTTTCTCTCTCTTTTCAGCCATTCTTTAAGAATGCTTCTGGGTCCATATGAGAATAGGGCCTAGAGGCTTTTTGGAAATAGAGGTTATGCCTGAGGCTGGTGTGTTGCTTTGTGGTATGCTAATTTTCTTTTCTTTTCTTAATTAAATGACTTAAAAATATACAAAAATAGGTAAGGCAAAGAATTTGGAAGTACCAAGGAATGAATACTATTATCCCTATAAGCCACACTGTGAATCCTGGATTTGACCCTTTCATATCATCCTATACCAGTGATGGCAAACCTATGACACGCATGTCAAAGGTGACATGCCACGACGTTTTGGGTAACACACCAGCATTCACCAACACCCGACAACAACTATTCTCCCTATCTGAGTTACCAAAGAAACTGAGTTTGTTTTACTCGTATTTCATTTTTGTAATTATCTGAC